GTTTTTTTTTTTTTTTTGTAAATAAGAGTGTATATAATGACAGTTTTGAGTGGTTGTAAGATAATTAAAACAGGTCTTAAGCTACGTTTAACTTCATTCAACAGCAAAGAAGGTATCTTGGCCAGTAAACCTTCAAAACAACAGTGGGGCATGAGAGAATCATCTCTGAAAGGAGAAAGTTCCTTCCTACTTAAATAAAACAAATCTTTCCGTGATTCTCCCACTGTCCTGCTGTCTGATCCCTTCCCCTCTGGATTTAGGTACTTTTTTTTATTGCAGTTCAGGAAAGGTAGGAAGAGCAGAATTTCCACATTGGGGGTTCTGTCCCTGATTTCTGAAGACTGCCGCTCGTTTCTCTACGTTTGCTTTGGTACAGCAGCGACGGGCCTTAAGGATTCCTCACCTGTGGATGTGCAGAGCAGTGATATTTCAAAAATGCATTTTTCAGCTGTGCAACCCTTTCCTCTTAGGCTGTGTCCTCAAGCAATTAATAGTCTCCTTAGGCCCAACGTGCCATCTCCTGTTTTAAGTACACATCCTCTTGTTTGGTTCTCTCTGGACGTGGACTGTGCTGTTGTGCATCCCCGTAAGAGTCCTTCTTAGACTTAAAGGCAGTAGTACAATTTCCCCGAACCTATTTATTTTCTTAACTTGATTTTCTGTATTTTCCCATGGTCAATATGTTTGGAGAGTTCTAAATTTTATAAAATTAAAATTCAGTTTAATTTAAAAAGTGTTGCATGTTCTCTGTGCCAGGCACTGTGTTGGATAGGAAGGTGAGTAAAAACTAGTTGTGCCCTCAGGGGGCTCACACTCAGCTGTGACAGACTTGGACAGCTGTCCAATTTAGCAGTCCGGTGTTTTAGTGGAGCAGCACACACAGGGTAATGTGGAAGCAAAGTGGGAGAGGGAGGTCAGGCAGGCCTTGAAGCATTCAGTGTGACCAAAGAAAATGACAGTAAAACGTTCTTGGGGTGAAAGAGTCATACCCAACTTTATTTCCTCAGTGGCAGGTCGGTCAGTCACTAAAATCCCGTCCACTCCGAGCGAGTCTGCAGGCAGCAAGCCAGTCTCTGCCTCTGGGCCTCTCTGTCTGCACAGCTGTCCTCCGCACAGCCGTCCTCTGGGCCTCTGTCCTCGGTGCTGCCACACTCCAGCCTCTGCTCTGCTCTCCTGCAGCCCTGCCACCATATCACGCCCAGAGCACTGGGCGGAGCTCTTTATATAGAGTCAATAGTTCTTCATATATAGAGTCAGTGTATTGCCCACATGTGTGCAGTGAGCTAATCAATCAGGGCCATGTGAGAATCCTGGCCACAGGATCTCTGATTTTATCCACAGTAGTTCACAGAGCTGGGGAAAAGGGAGCTGTGTTCCACATGGCTAGGAGACCGTGTAAAGGCACAGAGGTAGAAAAGCGATTTTAAGAGGCTGGAAAACTGGCTCTACATAGTTAATGGCATTCTTGGATAATCAGGTTAATATTCCAGTTAACCAAGAAAATTTTGTATACCATTAAGCCCTATGTAATTGGAATTTCTTGATGGCTAACCTTTAGGGAAAATTCACCTAGATGTGGGTATTTTATTGTTTCACAAATGTAGCCCAGTGTCTACTGGAGTAATGCCCCGTGTACACTGACATTAAGTGGATACAGCAGGAAGATCAAGGGCTCTAGAGCACCAACAACGTCTGGGGAGAAGCCAGAGGAGGCGCTGGGAGCAAAGGGGGAAGACGGGGGAACTAGAGGGCCTGGGACAGTGGGCACCCCAGTCAGTGAGCACATGGGAGACTGGCAAATCCCAACAATTTGGCTATTATGAATCCCCCTGGAAATAGACAACATGGGGATATGTGCACGTTTTCAGTAAAGACCTTGTACATTTCTAAATGAAAGCCACTAGGATTGAAATGACCATTTAAATTTTGTTTAGGGAAGTAAAACGTCTATTCGGACCTTACTGATGAATCTAATAAGACTGGCCAGGATATCGGTGGTAACAAGGAAAGTAGAAGGACGCCAAACGTCTGGATTGAAGGATATGGCTAATGCCCGTGTGTCCAGGCCTAGATTGTTTTCCTCAACCACCTGCTTCAGAATAACCCAGGCTGCGCTGAAAACGCGGGTTATTCTTAGAACTGAATGGGAATCCGAAGGTGGAACCCAGGATTTTTAAATAAAATCTGCAGGGTATGAGGGATTTATTTTAGAAGAAGATTCTAGTCACAGACCGTCCCAGCTTCCTACTGGAGCTCGAGGTCCCAGGGTTCTCACTGGCGTCCGCGCCACCGGGCTCACCTGGTGCGTCCCACCTGCGCCCGGCACCCACGGCCCCGTCCGGAGTCCAGCCTTTCGACGACGCGCAGGGCGGCCGAGCCCCGCCCCCGGGGAAACGCAGGCGCCGTAGCCCCGCCCCCGCGCCGGGCCGGGCCAATCCAGCGCCGCGGTCTCAGACGTCGGGTTACGGCGGCGCAGAGCTGGCCGCGGGGCGGAGGCGCGGCTCCCAGCTCGGGTTGCTGTTCGGTCTCCGGCCCCGCGGTTGGTGGCGCGGCCCCGCGGCAGCGAGGCCCCCGAGCGGCCAGGCCGGCCGGGCGGGCCATGCAGGGCCCCGCCGGGAACGCGAGCCGCGCGCTGCCGGGAGGGCCGCCGTCCACCGCCGCGGCCGGCGCGGGCCGCTGCGAGAGCGGCGCGCTCATGCACAGCTTCGGCATCTTCCTGCAGGGGCTGCTCGGCGTCGTGGCCTTCAGCACGTTGATGCGTGAGTCCGCCCCGCGCCACCGGGGCCCCCGCCGCGGCCGCTTCTTCCCCCCGCATCCCGCGGTGAGGCGACTCCGCCTCCAGCCCGGGGCCTTGACCCCTCCGCCCCTCCAGGCTCTTCAGGCCCCTTCACGCTTCGAACCCGCCTCCCGAACCCCCGTCTCGCGCCGAGCTTTCCTCCGCACCCGCGCTTCCCGGAGGTTCAGCCCGCGCGCGCGTTCACTCCCCATGGATTGCGGGCCGGCTCCCCGTCCCCAGTAGCGCCCCTCAGCTCATTAATGTTTGGGTGTAGCCGCGTTCGCCCCCTCGCTTCCCTCCCCTTTCTCCCCGAACAGGCCCACCTGTTCCGTCTGCCCCGAGCTTTCCCGATGACGCTGCCTCTCCGGCCTCCCGTCTCCCTTCCCAGCGCACTCCTGTCATTTACATGTCAGGTTTCCTTCCAGTGCGTGAGACTTGGGCAACCTAGTGGCTTACCGGAGAGGAGGCTCAGGGCCTGGGGAGGTCTCAGAATCCCTGTGCTAAGTCACTAGGGTGCATGCTCCGGAGTTGCAGGAGGGGAGTAAAGCCTGAGATGGCCCTTCTGGAAAAGTAGACGTTGCAGGCTGTTGTCCTGTGTGCCCTGAGGTGCAGGGCTGTGCTGTTTTCTTAGGGCACACGATTTATCAAAGTAGCGGGTTGCTTTGGTTGGCTTGTAGGCCCAGGACGGCCCCAGTGATTGCATTTTGCGGGAAGGAAGGGTTATAACTTTCTGTACAAAGGCATTAATTCCAAAGTGACTTGTTCTCAAACTTCCCCGCTGCTCACGTGGGCTGAAAGGGAAGCTCCTGCAGAAAGCCTGCTGCTCAGTCACGGGGGGACCTGCAGCTGGGGGAGTGGCCCAGGGTCCTTCCTCCTGCTGGGGCTGCGGCTCTGCGGGTTGGTAACACGGAGCCTGTTGGGGTGAATTCTCTCAGGCTCTAAGTAGCCCTGAAGAGGTCTTTCTAGACACCACTTTCTTGTTTTCTCTTGAACGTCTTTTGGTTGCGTGGCCTTGGTAAGTCTCAAAACAAGTGCCCAACTATGTATGCCGCGTTTTCGTTCCTTTGTAGCGTCTACTCGCCTTGCTGTTTTCCCTGCCGAACAAATACTCACTTGTTCCCACAGTAATAATTTGTGATGACTTCGTTAAAATCGGCTACGGACTTGGGTGTATGTACTGTGTGTGTGTTGTCAAGACTTTGTGGGTGCGTCTCCACTCCCCTCCCTTTCTCCCTAAAGGAACCGCAGGCTTAGTTTTTGTTTTGTTCCTTGAGATCTCTTAGTCTACCCGGACTGTTTGGGTGGGTTTGATTGATGGCGATGGCCTGACTACTCCCTGGGGTTTGATTCTTGTGTTTCAGAGAGGGATGTGATTACATCGGGACACAGCTGCTCGCAGCTAGACGTGTGCCTGGTGAGTGTGTCCTCAGGGGCACACGCCCTCCTTTACTTCATCCTGTGTGAGCACATGTGCAAATCCCACTGTGGTTGGTGCTTTCTGTATGCAGAGACCAGACTGGAAAGCGGTCCCAGGCCTAGACATGGAGGGAGCTTGTTGGGTAGGAGTCTTGGGACAATGATGAGTAGGGGTGATGGGGAGAGGAGTTGGAAAGGCCAGGGCAGGGTCTGCCCTGGACACGCAAGCGGAGGTGAGAGGAGAGCCTTATTCCCCGCCTGAAGTGGGCAGCAGGCCAAGGAGAATCCCCCCGATGGGGACCTGTCAGGGGTGTGAGTGCCTTTCTTACCTCTCACACTTGTGGGTTTTGCTGGAATGGGACTTTGGGGCTTTTCCACTTTTACCCTAGGAAGAGGAGGACATCTTTAAGGGTCTCTTTACATTTTGGATTGGACTTGGCTGGGTGGAGGTGGTCTAGTACATCGGTGAGCTGTCGGCTTTGTCTGGGCCTTTCGCCTTCCCGGTCACAGCAGCGGTGTCCCAGTCCGGCAGAGCTGCTGCTCAGGGCGCCGGGCTCCCGCGACAGGTGGGTCAGGGAGGGAGCTCTGGAGGGGGGTCCTGGTTTGTTTCGAGGAAGCCGTTGCATCTTCGTGGATTCTGTTGTCAACCTTCTTCAAGCATGTGTTAAATGCCAATCCTCTTGAACAGTTGAGCTCACAGGCCCTACCTCTTGGGGTCACAGTCTTTTCCCTTCTGGGTGTTTTCTCCCCAAAGGCAGCGGCCTGGGCCACTCTTCACGGACACTGTGACTCCCGCAGGGCGAGGGCAGGCACCATCTCACTTTCCTGTGGGGCCAGCTCTGCATGCAGCAGACCCACTTCTCTGCCAGAAGGGCTGTGCACTGTTTTTCATCACTTCACATCCCCAGTTTCAGTGACTCCTCAGACCTCAGTCTTTGTTTCTTTTTCTACCTAGAAAAACCACTTTTTTCTCCATTTACAAGCTGCTTTGCTCTTTACCAGAAGGGTTTTATCCTGGAGGAAGACTTCTCATATATTTTAACAGGTCAGGGAAGGACTTAGATTCTCACGGGGTTTCCAGTCCTGCGTGACTCACTACTTGCGGGGTCTTCTGGTGGCCTCAGTCTGGGCAGTGAGAGTTTGTGGCCAGGTGACCCATGTAGCCAGTTCTGCAAGCCACACAGACATGCATCTCTGTGTCAGCATCGCATTATATGTGAGGTTTCCAGAGGTTGCACGTAAGGGACCCTCTATACAAGGAGAGCTTATGAAGGGGCTTCCCACTCTGGGTGCTCTGGGACGTCACTGAAAGGCATTGGGAGTCTGAGTAGAAAGAAATGCTTTACCCAAGGGGCTTTGTGACCTACCTGGCAAGCAGTTCCTCTGTTTTGATGGCTTTATCTGTATAGTCTATGACTTGCTGAGGTCGCTCAGACTAGAGCCTCCACAGAGCGGCCCTGGAGCTCAGCTAACTGCTCCAGTTGAGGGCCTGGCCCAGCCGCCAGTCAAAGGTCAATATTGGCCAGTATATACGTTGGCATTAGTGGTGTTTACCCTCAAGACGTGATAATGCAAAGCAAACTCAAGCCTCCTTCATCTTGCAGAGAGTTCTGGGCTTATGTGCAGATAGAATTGGTTTCTAACAAAGCAAGCATTTTGAGAGCTTGGATAAATCTACCTCCCTATTTTCATGTTAGAGATATGGAAGAAGGTGTCAGTGTTTTATAAAACACTGCTGGCATTGAGAAACGATAGCTTTTTTCCTGGTAACATCACAAACCAGTCCACCCAGCTTTGAGATCTTAATCGCAAGAGCCACTTGTGTGTTGCAGACACACCCACTTTGGAATATCCTTTCTGGGATCACCAAACCCCATGCTCTCCCCAGTTTTTGTCTTTAAAAATGCCAAACATACAGAAAAGATAAAAAATAATACAGTGAAAAACCTGTCAGCCTTCCACCTAGATTCAGAAATTGTTCACGTTTTGCCACATTTGTTTTATTTCTTCATAGTTTTTTTTTCTTTCTTTTGGCCCAGCCATTTGAAGGTAAGTTGCAGACAGTATTGCACTTTACCCCTAAAAACCAGTTTGTCTCCTAAGAATAAAGACAGTCTTCTGCATAACCAGTTTAATGATCATACCTGTGCAAATGTAGATTCCACAAGATCACCTAAAAACTATGATCCAAAGTCCACACGTTGCATTTGGTTATGTTTTTAAGTCACTTTCTCTTTTGAAGACTCTCTCCCTACACACACACACATTCCCCCCAGCCCCTCTCTTTCTTTCTCCCTTTTTTTAAATGACGTTGCCTTTTTTGAAAAGCCCTGGCCAGCTGTCCTGCACAGTGTCCTGTGTTCTGGAGCCGTGTGGGTGTTTCCTCTCGTGGAGGTCTGGCGGTTCCATGTGGTCCGGAGTTTGGTCTGGAGGAGCTCTTAGCTTCTTCACCCTTTTCTACGGCAAGAACGCCCCCACCAGGACGCTCAGGACGCACAGTCGCCCTGTGAGTGGTAAATCCTCCATGGAGGTGTGCGGTCTGTAGCGCTCTCCCCTGTAAAGGGGCATTTCCCTCTTTGCATGAGTAAGTCCTCCCTGTGGTGACACCTGGAGAATATCCACTTCCCCAGGGACTTGGCACTCAGTGATCGCCGCCTCCTGACGAAATCAGGAAATGGAGATGGCTGCATTGGACCTGGAGCTCATAAGCAAAGGCAAGTGTCTGTGGGCCTGGCCCCCATCACATACCCAGTAAGTGTCTGTTTACTTTCCTCCGTCCGGAGTGCCTGCTGAGGCAGAGGAAGGACTGCGTTCTTCGCCCGTGTCCCCGGCTGGTGCTGCACACTCGGGAAAGGAGTATGGCCAACATCAGCTTGGTGGCTGGTGAGGGGTCTTTATTTGATTTACATATTTACAGTGAATAGGATTTACTGGTAGCATTTATCCATAATGGTGAGCCACTCCTTTATTTGTAATGAAAGTTCATTACTTTGGAATAAAATCTGGGCAAGAGGACATTGAATTACCACACAGTCTCGGTTGTAGAATGACTTAATGAGATGCATTTTTTAGCCTTTTAAATACCTGCTTGTTGAGTGTTGCCCTAGAGGGGCCTATCAAGCCTCTACTGCTTTAATGATCTGTTTAAAATCCTTTGCAATTAGTATAATATTTGCAGGAAGTGAAGTTGCATTGAAGGAGTTTTACAGGTGGTTAAAAATAGCAGGATCCCTGGCTCTGGAACCAGTCTGACCTGGCTTCCACTTGTGCTCCTGCCACCTTGTGCCCTTGAGCAACCTGCGTGCTTCTGAAACATTCTCTCTGCTCCACAGTGGGGTCCATGTGGTCGTCAGCATTACAGAGTTTGCATTCCGAGTCCCACTGAAACGCATGTCACCAGTGCTTGGGCAGTTTGTTTTGGGAAAGAGGCCAATATTCCCTAATGTTGTTTGCACAACATCTTTACCTTTAGCTGTCTTTTCATAGACTGCACTGTCGTACAAAACTTCCACCCGACCAGCACAGTGGTGGTGGATTCCAGACTCACAGGCACCCCGACCAGGTGGC